TAGTAAAACTTAAAACTTAAGTTCAGGCGAAACCTAACCCAAATAAGTCTTGTAAAGTTAGCACACAATGAAAAGCATGTTGAGTCTTTTATTTTTATTTATTTTTTTGAATAAATGCATGCGAACTAGAAATCATGCGGTTAGGTTTGTTGTTTTAAATAAAGTATGAAAATAGATTGCATGAAATTAGGGTTTAATTATTTTGATTAATTCTATGTTTCATTTTCATTCCTGAATTTTGCATTTCCATATCATGGTGTTGATTCATGACTGATTTCATATAGAGAGCTGGAAATATGTAACAAAGAGTCCAATATGAAGTAGAAGACAATGCAATTATCTTAAGATGGTCTGAGTAGTCTCAACTTATCAAGGGAAATAGTCTATCACCTGGGTACATGTCAGATTTGGTCAAATATACACATATCAACGTTCGCCAAAATAACCTGGGTGAGTTGAAAGAAATCTGAGAAAGGTGGGAAGCATCACAAAGCAGTTATTTCATCAGTTATATGGCGGCATTGCTTATCTTTTGGACATCCCTATTGATCGACATCTGTTCATATCTCTATCACAGTTTTGGAACCCTTCCTACAGTTGTTTCACCTTTGGCAAGGTAGATTTGACACCCACTATAGAAGAATATCGAGCTCTTATCCGCTGTCCAAGAATCTACAAAGACAGGGTATATATCAAGTCACCTAATACTTCTCATTTCAAGAAAAAGTGCTCTTATTGACCGATATGAGTGAAGAATGGGCTACAAGAAATATCAAGAAAAAGGGTGTTAGTGAATGCATTACATGGACTTCCTTTAAAGAAGTAATCTACCGCCATCCAGACAAAATGAAGCCTATTGATATGTTGGCTTTAGGAATTTATGGATTAATCATTTTTCCGAAGATTCTGGGGCATATGGATATACCAAATGTAGACTTGTTTTAGAGATTGAACAACAATGTAGATCCAGTTCCTGCCATATTAGCTGAAACATTCCGTTCCTTGAATTCCTGCAGACACGAGGGAGAGGGACGTTTTATAGGCTGTGCACCCATATTATTGGTATGGATTCTGAATCATTTTAAACATGAAGAAAGAGCTCCTGGACGAGTATTTCTAGAAGGCTTCTCACCTCTACATGATTTCCTTTATCGCAAATGGCTTGGAGGATATGATGAAGAAAAATTGATGAACATCTTTCAAAATCTCGAAGATACAGACTTATTATGGAGAGCTTCATGGAATACTTCTTCAAACATAATGTATAAGTGTGGAGAGAACCTTTGATGCTCTCCAGACAATACGAATCAAGGCAGTTTATTCCCGCGACATCTGGTTTATCTGAATCAGAATTTGCATTCAGAAGCGATCAGTACAAGGAAAAGATCAAAAAGGTTGTTGAGGCCCGGAAATGGATTCATCGAGTAAATTTATTTACTTTAATCAAAAGCTCTCATCCAAATATGAACAATGGAGAATCAATCGCTTCAACGAAACATTCCAGTGGTTAATTTCGAGAATGTTCAACCCATCAAAGAATTTGAGAATTATATCGTCTCCCTTAGATCTGGCGAAACAAGATTTCTAGATTGAAAGAAAGCAGTGGAGAAAGACTCTGCAAAAGCTGGAAGAAAAAGTCTATCACAAAGAAATTGAGATAGATATCCATAAAGGGAGAGCAGATCAAGTTAGCAAGGTTGAAAATAGCTCAGGATAGATTTCAACGATCTTCAGTCAACCTATCAAGGTGGTAAAAACTCAGATTACCGAAGGATCAAGTAAACAAAAGTCCACAGGTCTGAAAAGAAAAGATGAAGAAGATAAATAAGAGCTTAAACAATGTAAACACCAAACCAAGATGCTTGCTAAAGAAAAGGAAGCATTAGAACAAAGACTATTGGAAAATCAAGCTCAAAACCAGAGATTAAAAAGCAAGATTGAAATATTGGAAACCACACTGCAAAATCAAGAAAGTAACTCAGAAGCTAAGAATCTAAGAAAGCAAGTGAATGAGCTAGAAACCAAAGTCCAAGATCTTCTGAGAAGGGCGAATCAACTCCCTATTGTCCCGTACAAAGGAATTTTACAATGGCGATACCGTTGGGAACGCGCTCAATGAAAAGTCAAACAAAGAGACGACCTCATTGCAAAGTATCTGGATCAAGCTTAGAGAGACACAATATTTAGTGGACTTGGCATATGAAGCTAACACTTTGAATAAAGAATTAGAACCAGAACCGAAGAAGCTCATAAGTTCTTTGAGTTACTTGAACATATACAACAATTAGGAGAAGCTGCTCAGATGTATTTGTAGTCTATACTATGTTTTAAAAGCTTTGTAATAAGACTTTGTTTTAATATAAAAGTTGTTCTAAAAAAATCATCTTGATATCAACACCTTGCATATACATATTAAGCATGAACATTTTGACATTATATTTTTTCCATATTCATTAAAAAGGTTTTTTCTTTTTTTCGAAGAATACTGGACCCCCCTAAGCATCCATATAATACAAGAAAAAGGGAAATGGACGATAAGGTCGCTCAAATTGAAAGGAATCAGCTTGAGATGCAAGAAAATTTCAAGAAAATTTAGGAAGAAATGCATGAACAGTTACTGAAATCCCAGAATGAGATGATGGAAAATTTTACAAGTATGTTACAAAGAAGAAACATGGATCAAACAAATGCCCCAGTTGTTGGTACTTTCACTGAAGATCCTTTATATCCTCCAGGCTTTACACCAAGAGCATATTGTCTAAAAACTAACGTAACTGAGGAACCTTTATATCCTCTGGATCATGCAACCTCTCACGAAAAAGCCCAGTCCGGGGTATTTACTCAGACAGGGAGGGTAAACATAAATTTACCTAGTGCTTCTATAAACCAACAACAAGTTGAGAATGTTCCAGATTTTGATCAGGAATAAAAGAAAGCATCAAACAAACAACTGGAACAACTAATGGAAGAAGTTAGGGAAATAAAGGAAGGCTCTAATGTGTATGGAATTGAAGCCAAGGAATTAAGTTTGGTACCTGATTTGGTATTACCACCTAAGTTCAAAATCTCATATTTTGAAAAATTTTACGGTATGAAATGTCCTTCTACCCATATCACAATGTTTTGTAGAAAATGATAGGTTATATAGGGAATGATCAACTACTGATCCATTATTTCCAAGAAAGCTTAACTGGTTCAGCCATCCAATGGTATAACCAATTAAGTAGAGCTCGTATTAAATCTTGGAAAGATTTGGCTAAATCCTTTTTGGAACAATATAAGCATGTGAATGATATAAGGTCTAATCGAATGGTACTACAAAACATGGAAAAGAAATTCAATGAAAGTTTCAGGCAATATGCTCAGAGATGGAGGGACATAGCTATACAGGTACATTCACCCATGGAAGAAGAAGAAACAAATGTGCTCTTTGTAAACACTTTGAAAGCTCTTTTTTTACTCACCTCATAGGGAATTCTTTCAAAAGCTTTGTTGACATAGTTACAATAGGTGAGATGATCGAAATGGCGATTAAGAGTGGGAAACTTGAAAGTGGTGAATCTAGCAAGAAGCCATTTATGTAAAAGAAAGAAAGTGAGGTAAATGATGCAAGGAAATATGAGTCCAATAATATCACAGTATCTCGACCTCAGGATATTGGATCTTCTACACCAAACTTCGCCAAGCAAGAAACAAGGGAACCAAGGGTGGAAAGAGAGAAATTTCAGTTTGACCCAATTCCAATAACCTACAAAGAGTTATACCAGATATTATATGACAAACATATAATATCACCCTATCATGTATCACCCATACAACCTCAATATCCTAAGTGGTACAATGATAACTTGCAGTGTAAATATCATGCAGGAGCTCGTGGGCATTCCATCGAAAACTGCATCGCATTCAAAAGAATTGTTCAAAGCTTGAGAACAAAGAACATCATAAATTTTGGTGATAAAGAGCAACCAAATGTTGCTCAAAACCCATTGTTAAATCATACAGGAGCAGGGATCAATGCAGTTGTTGAGGAAAAAGGAAAACAGGTGATAAGGCAAGTCAGTGAAGTGAAATCACCTATATTATGGGTATGGACTCAATGATCAAAGTTGGTTTGTTAAAATCTGATCTGTCAGCAGAATAATTAAGTTGTGGAAATGTATGTCATTATCATGGTTATGAAGGACATGTTATACAACAATGTTCAGATTTTTGGGCTTTGGTACAAAAAATGATGATGAAAAGGAGATAGAATTTTTCAAGGAAATATCAGAAGAAGAAATTAATATATGTGGATCTGAGGGATCATATAAAGAGTTTTATAACTCTAATCATCCTCTAATTATCACGCCAATGACTCGGGTACTAAATAAGAAAGCTCCAAAGGTGGTTATTATTTCACCATCCTCGTTTCCTTATAAAGATGGAAAACATGCTCCATTGAATTACGAATGCCAAATGAAGGAAACAATGGGAGGAAATGAAGAGATAAGTTGCACATCAATGAACTGTAACTGAAAGCGAAACTGTAGAATTTTTGAAGTTTCTCAAGCCCAGTGAATACAGGTTGAACAGTTGCTTGATATCAGTTTTAGCACTTTTATTAAGTTCTGAAGCACATCGTAATGCTTTGCTAAAAGTGTTAAATCAAACTTTCGTAACAAATGATTGACTATTAACAAATTGGATAGGCTGATTAAAAATATACAAACTAATAATTTCCTTTATTTTTTCGAAGATGAAATTTTTGAGATGAATGATAACCCTAAAGCTCTACATATTATAGTCAACTGCAAAAGACATTTTATCTGAGTGTTAGTAGACAATGGCTCGAATTTGAATATAATATCATTAGTGACTCTGAATAAATTACCAATTGATAGCACACTCAATGAGGAGTCTTCAAAGTATTATCCGAGCTTTTGATGAAATTAAGAAGGTATTAGGAAAAATCATCTTTAAACTAGAAATATATTAGGGCAGAAGCATGAAAGTAAATAGAATAAAAGACAATGAAATAACATTAAAATATTCGAGTACAAAAGCTATGAACTCCTGTGGACTCTAGCAAATTTCTCCCTTTGATCCTGCAAGAAAAAACATGCAGACAACCATGGAGAAACTTAAATTCTTACACGATACCCATGAACAGACTCCTAAACCTAGATAACCAGCCACTGCAACTGCCAAAAACTCCATTCCAGCGAGCTTTTACAAACACAAAGAAACACCAAACTAAGATTTCAAAATAAAATCCCAATCGATCTCATAAGATGGAAATTTCGACAACATAAAAGACTCCGAAGAAGTAACAACTTCCGGCCACGGCTGCTCGCTGAAGTCCGAGAAAGTAAGATCGGAGAAAGGTGAAGATTCCGTCGACCCCTCATTTTCCGACCGAACCGGGGACAAAGATTCGGGGGAGCTCTCATCTTTCACAGTCTTCTCCTCAGGCTCAGCCTTTGCCAATTGGACTTCGTTGATCTCCTTCGATGATTTCTTCTTGCTGTTGTTCCCTTGCTTTTGGTTCAGTTCCAAGCTTTCACAAATGGCTTGAAGCTTGGCATCAACGGAGGAATGTAAAGGCTTGTACTCACCGAACTCGCCTCCGATATGGGAACCATGGTGGCGAAGGTTGGGGAAGTTGAGTCTCGCTAAGTCACCCCTAAGTTTATAGGCTGCTTTGTCGTAAGCCAAGGCTGCTTCCTCGGCTGTATCGAAAGTGCCTAACCAGAGACGGGTCCGGTTCTTAGGTAGCCGGATCTCAGCGACCCATTTTCCCCAGTGACGTTGCCTAACTCCTCTGTAAAGCTTGGTGGGTTTTGGTGGTGAACCCATGTGTTTCATTGGGACTGGTTGGGGGCTAAGAAAGCTCAGCATGTGGTGGTTGTTGATGGGTTGAGCATTCTGGTAAAGGTAGCTCGGTAGGTCATTTTGGAAGTTGAATTGGGACTCTACTTGCGTTAAATTGTTTAGCCCAATTGTACAACCAAGCTGAGCCTGTTGATCAAGAGCTGGGAAATAATAACCATCTGAGTAAAAACTGGGTTGCGTTTGGGAAGAAGAGGAGGAAGAAGCACTTTTCATAAAAGGCTCAAGTGCTTCCATCAACTCTCCACCATTGTAGCTACGACTATAGAAATCCATTGTAGCTGCCATATCTTTAAAAAAATGAAAAAAAAAGTAACCTGATTCTTACCAAAACTCAAGAACAGGTTTGAAAACCCAGAAAGGATAGATTAATGAGGTTTTTGCTTAAAATATATTAACCCCTTTAAATCCAAGATAGCATAAAAGAAATCAAGCTTTGGGTATAAAAAAAACACCCTCCAATCTGATTTAATATGCAAAAAAAGAGAAAAAAAAACTGGATCTCGATTCTGAAAACACCAGACTTTTGAAGAAAACCTTATCAAAGTTTGCTTTCAATCCACTGTTAATTACTGAAAAAACAAACCAGAAAACCAGAATTTTATTCAAAGACCGATGATTAACAGAAAGGGATTCAGAGAAGCGGGGATTAACAGAGGGGGGAAGATGAAAATAAAATAAAAACCAGAACAACTGACTACTCGATTTTTTTTCTTTTTTCTCTCTCAATATTTTGTGTTAAATAACTCACTAAACTCTGGGTTTCTCCCAGCTCCTTCCTTGAGTTTATATAGTTGCTCAACTCGTTAATTAACTCATCTAACCACAGCTGTTAGCCATGACTAACCATCTGTTTTAACTTAAAGTAAAACTTCAATTTTTACGTTTTTTTTTTCTTTAGATTTTAGGATTTAGTCCTGATTAATTTATACTGACTCATATTATACACATAATTTTTATAGATGAATCTTCTAATAATAATTTTATAAATACATAAAATTTGAACTTAAATTTTTTTTTATTAATTTAAAATAAAATTTAATTAAATAATATTAAATTAATTACTGCTTGAACTAACCTATTAGTTACGTCTCTCTCTTTCTTCTGTACTCAGTTTCAATTTTCTGACGTAAGATTCAATCAGTTTTATGGTAAACCAGTGGTAGATCGACACGTGCATTCCTTGTTATTCATGTGCCTGAAACCTGTCCTTGTATTAGTTGTCGGTTGGCACTATTCTGCAGTTGAATGGTATAATCTTTAAAAGCTATAAAGAAAGGTCTAATTTATCCCTTAGTCCCATTAGTTTTTGAACTTTTCAAATTTAAATTTTCTGTTGTTAATTTTTAGGGTAAAGTATAGTAATGGTCACTGAACATTTCTGAAGCTTGCATTTAGGTCCCCCAACATTTAAAACTTGCAATACAGTCCCCCAACATTTATTCCGTTTGCAATATGGTATCCCAACTTAAACCACAGTTAGAAAATTAGGATAAATTATATAAATGGTCATTAAACTTTTCAGTCACTTGAATTTAGGTCCCCTAACTTTTAAAACTTGCAAAACAGTCATCAATTTCATTCTAAACCCCAATTTCCAAAGTAATTCAATTTTATTCTAAACCCTAAATTCCAAAATACTTAAATTAAATTCAATTATGTCAAATTTATTATTATTTAATTTTATCTTATTTCATGTGATACATATTTTTTATATAAATATAATAGTATAATTCTTATCTGTTGAAGAAATTTTTTAATTAAAAAAAGTAGTTAGGATATAGAAGATGTTGAAAATAATTCGAATTTTAAATTTATAAAATATTATTTTGACGTATAAATAAAAGTGTAAACTACTCGGTTGACAACTTAACTATCTAGCCCTTTTTACTTTTGTCATCGATCTTTTAAATTTAACAATCATACCACATAATTATTTAACTGTTTCAACTAAGCCACTAGTCGTTACCAATTGATAAAAATGATGATGTGGCAGTTAAAAGGAATTGGCATTATTATACATTCAGTCTTTATTATTTATATAATCAATTTGGTCCTAAATTAAATAAAATTTAATAAATTAATCATTTAATTAGGATCTGACATGTGTTAGCACATGATCATGACACGTGTCATTGGTGACACGTGTTACCACCTAATTATTTATATATGCTATCAATTTGGTCCTAAATTAAATAAAATTTAATAAATTAATCATTTAATCAGGATCTGACATGTGTTAACACATGATCATGATATGTGTTATTGGTGACACATGTCACCTCCTAATTAGAAGAAAATTAAGTTACAAAGAAGTAAAATTTGGGTCTTGGGCAAACTCAAACCTGAGTCACGCAAATGAAAGATACAGGGTGGAGTCACTAAGCTAACACCATCGTTTGTGTTAAGAGATATACAATAATACATATACTAATAGTATGACCAATGCCAGAAAAAAAGAATATAATGTAAAATGGAAATAATGAGATTTGAACTTCGGCAAAAAATTTGAAAGCAATAAATGATGGGAAAATATTATATTTTTTACAATAAAAAATATTATATTTGATAAATTGTTTGATAGATTTAATATATTTTTTAAATATTAGTTGATACAATATTTTAAAAGAATAAATTTAAGATTTATATATTTTTAAACTAAAATTAATAATTATATTTTTCATATTTATAATTCATGATTATATATATAATCTTAAGTTGAGTATTTCTAATATAATTAATAATTTTAATTTCTTATTAAAAATAAAATATTCAAAAAATATAAATGATTCATACATTAATATAAGAATATATTTTTTATTTATACATCTAAATATAAATATACATTTATATAAATATATTTTATTCGTTGTGTCTGTGCCTTGAACTCTTTCTTCAAGCCTATATTACCTTAAATTGAAGTATTTTAGAATTTAATTGAAGTATTTTAGAATTTATGGTTTAGAATAAAATTGAATTACTTTGGAAATTGGGGTTTAGAATGAAATTGATGACTGTTTTGCAAGTTTTAAAAGTTGGGGGACCTAAATTCAAGTGACTGAAAAGTTCAATGACCATTTATATAATTTATCCTAATTTTCTAACTGTGGTTTAAGTTGAGGGATCATATTGCAAACGGAATAAATGTTGGGGGACTGTATTGTAAGTTTTAAATATTGGGGGACCTAAATGCAAGCTTCAGAAATGTTCAGTGACATTACTATACTTTACCCTAATTTTTAAATTTAACTTCTTCTGGATTGATCACGTTTAGAGGTGAACAAAAATCGACTCAAATCGAAAAACTGGTATTTTTGACTTGGTTCAACTCAAAAACACTCGACTCAAATTGACTTCGAGTTGTAATTTCATAAATTTGACTCAAAAACATTTCAAGTTCAAATCGAGTTGTAAAATACAACTCGAATAATAACTTAGATAACTCAAATTTTTAATAATTATTACTTTAATTTTCAAGTATAACTTGAGGTTCTCGACTCTGTATAATATATATATATACCACATATGAAAAAAAATATGAAAAAAATATATGTATTTTATATAGTTATAAAATCATTTAAATCAGATTCAAATAATATTATAAATATTTATAATTAAATTTAAACGGAAACTAGAAAAATCAATTTAACTCGAGTTTTATAAACTTGATTCGACTCAAAAATATTTTAAGTCAAGTTCGAGTTATATAATAAAACTCATCAACTCGAATAACTTAAAAGTTTTTAATTCAACTCGATCGAACGCTCACTCATAATCACGTTAATGCACAACTTTCCATATATTTTTTAGTTCAAACTTACTCGACTTTACTGTGCGCAGAACAGTACGATAGTATTTTTGTTCACTGAAGAAAATTGCTACTGATAGAGCAAATCACCCTCATTTACATGAATAAATAAATTATATATTGTTTAAATAAAAATAAATATATCGGTAAAAAAAGTAAAAAGTAAAAATATTATAATATTAAGTTAATTAACATATGATTTAACATGATTTTATAATTTTATAAAAGTTAAATAACTCAAAAAGTTTCAGCTTATATAATAATTTTTATATTACTGTCTTTAACGATTTTTTTTCTGTTCTCAATCTATTATTGTAATTTTATTAAACCTAATTTTTTTATTAAAGATAAAAGAATTAAATTGCATGTAACACCCACAGACCGATGCGGGTGACCCAATCCGATTCAAGGTGTCACATTAGGACCACCAGAACGACCCACCGTAAAAATCCCCAAAAAAATTAAAATTTCTGTTGAAACGCGTAATATCGTAAAACAATTTATATTTTAAAACTAGAATTTAACAATATCCATAAATAAAACAAGTTTCTGACTATGATATAAAAACAAAATACAACCTACACGCCCCCTAATCGCATGTATCGTACTCCGCAAGTAACGCCGGTGGAACTCCTATACTGATGTCGATAGCTGCATTGGTTCAATGCTTTTAACCTGAAATGATGAGTAAAAAAATGAGTTTTGGGAAGCTCAGTAATACAGAACTATCTGAAGGACATACAGATAATAAACAAACATAAAAAAATTTCTTACTGATTCATACGTCTACAGATTTTCAGGATGAGCTGAGGTTCCACTGATGTTTCTTCAAGTAAAAGGCAGGAAGATTTCAGTTCAAAGGAAACATTCAGACGACCAAGTTCAGGAGATCAGAATAGGATGTCTAGTGTGTTCCAACCAAAACCAGTGAAAAGGTACATATCTTTTTAAAACAATAATAATTTAAAACATATTTTTAAAACCATAGTAAAACTCTCCAACCGAACACCTTTATGCAGTTTCTTCATAATTGCATCCATAAGGACTTACCCTAAGAACACAACAAATGAGCCACCCTAAGGCAACCCTAAGGGAGTGCCTTAGGGTCTATGGGCCTACTCAAGGGCCTCCTTAGGTCCGTAAGAATTTATCAGCTTGATCAGAACTGAACCTCCATACTCCAGAATTCTACCCATATAATATCTAGTAGAAATCAGATTTATTAGTAAACTATAATATCAAGATCATGATACAGTAAAATATCGTAAGAGTGACAATGAAATAAACCACATAACTGTCCTCCACCCGTACACCATATATAGTCCCATGATTTACTCAAGGGACTGCCTTAGGGCCTGAGCGCCTACCCAAGATAGTTTTACGGGGCCTCGGAGCCTACCCAAGGGTCACCTTAGGTCCGTAAGTAATTACCAGCTTGATCAGAGCTGAACATCCACACTCCAGTCTATCTAGATAATATCCCAATAAAATAGTTCAAATAGTAACCAATAGATCCCATGATCCAAAATCAGGAACTATTATATTTTCCAGTGAAAACAAGAGATCAGATAACACATATCATGTACCCGTAGTTCATTAACAGTAAATCCGAAATTTTAAAAAAAATCACGTTTTAAAACAGGCAAAACATTTACATGTCACATAAGGAACACACTAGAGGATCTAATATTTCTTTGGAGGTATTTTGTATTTATCAAGTAAGGAACCATGAAACTTTTATAAATTGATAGGATTCCAGAATCAAGATCATAT